TCGCATTGGCAATATGGCGGCGAGTGTAATTGCTATTAATAAAGCGCTTTCCTGTATAATTAGACGGGCGAACGCCGATTGGCCGGCGGTCTCTAATCACAACGTGATAACATTGCGCTAATGGTTGCACAGCTTCCTATTGCATAATCATGCATAGCCAAGCCTAATTTGTGACTGTAGTTTAATCCGCTAACTTTTGTGTGTAACCTACCTATAAAGAATTTGAGTATGAAACCAATTAATGATCTGATAACGAGAGGCCCTTTTGGGAAAGGTTAAATTGTAATCACACTAATAAAGGCGAAAGTTTGTGACTGTGTGAGTGTGTATGTTTGTTACATCTTCACGTCTAAACGGCTGGAGCGATTTTAATAAAATTTGGTATGGAGTTAACTGACAGCCTGGATTAACACATAGGCTACGTTTTACTGCGGGTAAATATCCCTAATAAACCGCGGGTAACAGCTATTGATTTATAAACGGCAGCAAAAGGCAATTAATTGATATTCAAAACTGAAACTACAACAGAATCAGCGGATGAAAGAATGTAATTAAAAAAACGATAAATTTAAAAAATCAAAAAACCCGACTGCTAAAATATTACTTAAATAAAAACTGAAAATAAAAAAATAAGTCCAGTAGGTAGTCTATAATTCTGTTAAGTAAGAAACAAAGCTACGGTACCAATGTCAAAGAATACCAAGACATAGATTCCCATAATTTTATGAGAGTACCTAAAATAAAATAACATAATAACATTTTAAGAGAGGTTCCGCGAAGCCGATTCTCCGCTCGAATTGGAGCGCCCGTCTGGGAAAGGAAACTCCCCCCTTACAGAAGACCACAGTAAAATAACACTACTTTTTGGTGGTGTTGTCTTTGTCGGTGAGTAAGGTTCCAGGGCTCCACGGGGTAGGCGATTTGATCAGGGTAGGCAACGGCTCGAGTTGTTGTTGCCGCTTACCATCAGACGGGCCATATGCTTGTTTGCCACCCTTATAACATAAAAAAACCCCGTGTCAGCCTCGCTATAGACAATATCATTTACTTGGTTAAAGTGATTAAAATACGTTAAAGGAGCTTTGTATAAAGGACATGGTAAAATATAATATATATATATATAAATATATTTTTGTCTGAGCGACTGCCCTAGCAATGTATAAATATTGTATTTAGTAATATTTATTTCTGAATGGCTGAATATTTATAGTATCTATGAAAAAGGCTCAGGAACTTTTAATAAATTCACAATCTTGAAAATTATGAGAATTCCTACTATGTCATTACCTTGGTACATTTGATAAAAGATGTTGCCAATTATTATAATACAGAGCCATCAATTGCGCATTTTCTTAGGACCCTTCCTCCCATTTCCCTGATTAACAATTCACAAAAAGTGTTTTTAATGCAAAAATAAATAGAAATAATTTGTTGTCATCGGCCTGACAGGAAATCTGTGAAGTTTTATTTTGTTCATTTGCAAAAATCAAAAGGTTAATTATCATACAGCCCTGTCTCAAGCAAGATAAGAAAAATAAAATCTGCTATTTTAGCCCTTCAATGGTTTGTTACAATAAAAATTAGGGCCAAATATGTCATAGTTTTAAGGAGTTTGGAATTAATATTGTTTATTTCGATATACTTACACAAATATAATTATGTGTACAATAATTGTTCATATATTTTTGTAAAACGGAACATTTTCCTTTTGAAACAGACATGAAGTCAATTTCCATACTTTTAAATATTTGATTATTTGACGAAAGTTGTATGAGAATAATAAACAAATGATAATTAATAAAAAAACTATTATAATGTTACGGACTAGTGCGAAATAATTATACTCGTTAAGGACAGTTTCTTAGCCATGTCTTTTAAATAAAGAAATCCATGGTTTTAATTTAAGAAATATTATCGTGGATGCACGCTCGATGGATCTCCAATAGCGCGTAGAACGTATTCATCACGAGGCGACTGGGGAAACAATGATTGACGAGTTCGCACCTCGCCTCCTGCCTCTCTAATTAAGACGATATGCGTTTGTGCAACACTGCATCTCACGACCACAAATCTTACCTCTCTCTTTACAATACATTTCTTTATTACTTAGGTATAGTAAGCTTTAGCGCGTACGGTCTTTGTAGTTTAGTAGTAGGTTTGGTATCCAGCATGTCATATTTATGACTTGATTTCCATCTTATATCAATCATGCACGTGCAATAACAGAAAAAAACACTAAACTAAACCTTAATGCTATTAAAAACTTGTTATATTCTATAGAAATATTACCTTTATGAGCCCCGTTTAGATTTCAACCGCCGCCGAGGAACTTTAAATAATGTCATAACAATAACGAGGCGTTGTAAACGCGCAGCCCTTATTTCTGTCTTCGGTATCTGCTCATTAAAACGCTTCTTACTCGTGTCACAGTGTCGTTTTGATCTCTTTCAGAATTTCCACTAACTTTTGGGTGGTAGGGTGATGGACGACGTTGGTGTTCATATATCATTACGGTAATATATCGCGCAGTGCGCCGAGTGTCGCCATTAACGCATGCGCAAAATTGCCTGTGCCCAAGCGCATGTACCATCGCCGAAGCTATAAGAAGCAGCTCACAAATCGACGCGTGCGACCACAGCTAAACGCACATAAATCTTATTAATGGTATTCTTATTTTGGTCCTACCTCGGTCTTGTAAATTCGTTAGTTGGTATATTCCTAGCATTACACTTTCTTAAACTCTCGGAGCCCGTAAGGCATAAAAATATAATAATAAATCAAACTAATCAGAATTTTATTGTAAAAAAGGCACATTGCAAGTTCTCAGTCATAGTAAGCTACTTGGGTGGTCGGCTGTCATCCGTTATAATATGAATGTAGATTTGATAGGTTCGCGAGCCGAACGCCACATTCCTGTTCGGGTTGCGTAAGCTTCGCCTGCGAATTGTCAAGTTGGTCTCACGTGTCGCTCAACTCTATGTAAGTATTGTCGACAAAAAGTGAAAGACCTCTAGATGAAGCTCGTCTCAATTTACAGTTTGAGATTTGTCGTTTCCGCTCTCGCCGCCTCAATGACTACCATTTTATGTCGATTCGGAGATAGTGTTTCACGCGTTTGCTACCGACACCACTTTTTGTGACACTCCTTTCTGCTCGCGACTAGTTTATTATCGTTGATCAGTTTTTGTGTTTTTTTTTTGTTCAGTTTCTATTTTAGGGTTTCGATGATCTGTTATATTTCAACTTTCTATAGATTTAAGTATTCCTTCGATGGATTCTTATGTAGTGTTCCCCTCTAGTTAATATGAATAACAACAGGAAACCGCAGCAAAATAGTGTAATAAGAGCTATTACGTCGACCAACCACAGGCAATTTCACTCGGTAAACAAGAGCATACACCTTTACAAAAATGTCTGCCCATTCATCTTTCTCGAACAGAACATTAAAGAATGTCTCCGTTAAAGAGGGGAAGGGGAGAATCGCGTAAGAGCCAGAATCGAGTGCTACGGTGCATGCTGAATGTCATATATTTTCTTTAGTTACGTTAGATAACGGCTAAAGAGTTTTGAGCTCTCTTGTGGTATATCTAACTTTTTTATTTCTTTTTATTCTAAAATATTTATTATTGCTGACAATGTCTTTTCTGAGGGGAGATATCTATGCTAACCCTCTTAAGTAGGGACTTCTTATTGAGGGACGGAATGTATACTGGGTAACATTTGTGTAACTAATATTTCGTATGAAAGTGTTCTTGTGTTTGAGTTTCATATATATATTAAATATATTATAAACATAAAAACACATATCTTTCAGATAAGCATATTATACCGAAATTGAGCTTCCACTGAACATTCTTATTATGAAATTCCTATATTAATAATTTTGTTTTAATGATATACCAGGGTATTGGATTTAAGTTTCCTATTTTATCAATGCTTTAGATGATGGTAATTTTAATTGCTCTTTTCCTGAATTCAAACAGCACCAACAAGAGCAACATCTGATATAACATCAATCTCACATGGTCACATTTTTTAAGCTCGCAATTGCGTACTAGTTTTTGAAAATATGAGTTACTTTAGATAATAAGCAATAAAACCAAGTCTTAATGAGCAGACGACGATTCGTGCCGGTCTCAAGGAACAATTATATAGTAACCCAAGCAACTAATTGTCGAATAATTGCGCTAATGTGAAAATATACGCTTTACCATTACAATGGAACGTGGAAGTCGATAATATAATATGTAGTAATTAAAACACTTTGAAAATTTTCGCGATATAACTAAGGAGTTTTCATAAAAGCGTTTCTTTTTACTTAAATGGTCAGTAGTAGCTGCTGATAAAATTGGATAAGAAAGATGTTCCTTCTGAATAGGTAATAGGTATTTAAGTGAAATTTGTTTCAACAATTACAGGTATTCGGATGAATCTTGCCTAAGCCTATTTCAGTTTTTTTTATTTGTAGCATTTATTTTAATAGTCCTACAATGACTACAAGATTATCTATAGGTACATTTATAAGTCAAACACTGGCGGTGGGATACAGGATGTAAAAAAATATCCTCAGGTGAATCCAGACAAGGCCTAAGGTCATCCCAAAACGACTTGAGGCTAAGAAGTTAGATTTCCAAATCATTTTTTTAAGATTATATAAATAAAAATAGTAAATAAATATTTTCAACACTCACATCAATTAGCCTAGCCCCAAAGTAAGCACTGTAAGGCTTGTGTTATGGGATACTAGGGTAACGGATAGAATATATAATATACTGCACACATATAAGTATATTTATATAGAAATACATATTTAACATCCATGACTGGAGTACGAATGCTCATATTCATCACTCGATTCGGTGACACCATGAAACCCGGCGTACAAACCACTCGGCCACGGAGGTCGTCAAAATGCACAACTTATGAAAAAATAGGTTTTAATAATTTGCTTATTTTGTGTAGGAGTGAAGTTACTTAAACGGTGTATTTCTTGTTTGCAGACGCATGTTCCCGACGGTGCGCGTGTCGTTCGCGGGGTGCCGGGCTGAGGCACGGTACGCGGTGTTACTGGACGTGGTGCCCGTGGACGGCAAGCGCTACCGGTACGCGTACCACCGCTCCTCGTGGCTCGTGGCCGGCAAGGCGGACCCGCCCGCGCCCGCGCGCCTCTACCCGCACCCCGACTCGCCCTTCAGCGGCGACCAGCTGCGCAAGCAGGTCGTCTCCTTCGAGAAGGTCAAACTCACCAACAACGAGATGGACAAAAACGGACAGGTACTTATCAACTCTGTTAAGTCAAACGGTCACCTAGCTAAAATATAAACTGAATGACAGAAAAGAACCAGCTTTTTAGTAGCCACTACTTACTACTTTTTATATGAAATACTGTGATCTTTAAGGAAATTTATTTATATAACTCTTTCAGCTGGTGCTTAATTCAATGCACAAATATCAACCACGTATCCATTTGGTCCTACGAAGAGAAGGCGCCGTTAACGCACCGATAACTGATCTTGAGCAAGAAGAATTCAAGACTTTCATTTTCCCGGAGTGCGTGTTCACCGCAGTGACGGCATACCAGAATCAACTCGTAAGTATCCACTCACTATATTCCTGTTGATATCGGCACAAATAAGCTAGTTCATTTGGCGACACGGCTCTTTTGTTTCTATCATTTGATATCTAAAATAGATCAGAGGACCGAACGTTTGAAATCGCACAGGGCTGTCGAGTGTCTATCGACGGGTTCTATTTCGGTCTCACTAATTGCATCTCGTTGAAAGGTATGTCCAGTCTGAACAAAGGGAGGTGGCACATAATTTTTTGTCTATCAGGCGGCCACACGCGGGCGTCGGCGACGACGGACGGACAGAGCACTTGACGCGTGCACGACGGTGACGATTAAAGTTTTCACCCGAGCTAAATATAAGTCACACTCGGTGGACGTAATCGTGACCAGCTATTCGTTCGCCTCTATTGTTGTCAATGCTTTACTTGTTCCGCTAATTGGTTCGGCGATGATATTCCACGAACTCTGGCGTTCGCTAAACGTTCCCCGAAGCGCACGTGCAAATTTCGATCGTTGTCATCAAATTTTCTGTCAGTTGCGAAAACAATGCCGGACGAAGCTTCACGTTCGTGTCGCCTTCGACTATATTTCTTTCCCGCTATATTCATAGCTGACAGCTAATGGTGCGAGGCATGATTAGCGTTCCCTTTTGTGTTTCGTGTGACTTACAACCTCTGCGTGTGTGATGTACGAGCGAAAGCTACCCCAATGGTGGACGATTTACGATAGATGCGTAAAGAGAAAGGCAAAGGTACCTATATCTCACCATAAAAAGTTTCAACCTTAGAGGTGTAAATCTATAAATGAGAATTAATAAGCTGTGCTAAGCAGCTAAGCTGGCGTCAACCATTTATTCCAGTTCAAGTGGATGTTGAACTTAAACGTATTCTGGTATTTTCAGCTCTGAGTAGATGTTGTCGCTTCCCGCTCTGCCCATGGCACGGGCACGCCGCTGCATGTGTCGCCACGCGCAATTAATTCACTGTCACAAGAGCGTTTGGGCGTCTCCAACTTTCTCGTTTTGCTTCTCGGCGTGTAGTAAAATAATTAGGACGTTTTGAGGTTCATATAGGGAATGTTTCTTTATATCGACAACACGGTTTATAAATCTTCATTTGTAACTTTTATTTTTGGCTTTGGTATACCGTAAATTATTTAATTAAAAACCAGCCAAGAGCGTGTCCACAATATATTTGAGCAGGAGTCTTTATTTTCTATATCGGAATATAATTAGAAAACCAATTAATATCAATCTATATTGCATCTCAACTAATATACCTAAATCAAAGTCAAACTGCGTCTTAAACTCAAAATCAATTCGATATTATATTTTTTTTTAAATACAAATGATTATTATTCCTCCCAGGCGGGAAGGAAGCGGGAGTGAAATCCTCATAGATACCCTACAGACGGCTGCAAGGTTATGTCAGACTCTTACTGACTAAAAGCTTCATCTGAAGCGATCATCCCCTAAGAAGGGGATGATGCGGTATAACCGCCGATCTTTTCAAGTGCTTATATAGGTACTTTAAAAAAAATAATGTATGGCTTAAACCAAACAAATTATGAGCATGCTGTCTTATGCCTAATATTATAGTGAAACTTGCGAAAAAAATAAAAAAATGTTTTTGTAAAAATACCAATTTGTATGTATGTACTGTATTTTATAATAACTTACACTGAAATGAAAAGTATAACAGAATTAGGGGGTCAAAACTATAAATCCTCTCCTATTACTTTATCTTGTTTGTTACAGAGATCAATAGTTATTTGAAAAAAGTTTTAACGAAAACATAGAAGAACATAAGCAATTAATTAATGATACCGACCTGATGTTTATCAACATTGAAAATTTTCACTAGGTACTCACCTTTGGCTATCTACCAAGATTGTCACTGTCAATTTACAGATATGTCTATTGTTTAACATAGTGGACATTATATCAGTTTGATCGTAAATAATTATAGTGAGTATGTATGTAGGTAGTAAACATCAACTATCAATGCACGGAGGCCCACCTCCACCGGCAGCTTCGAACGACTCCCCTGGGCCGTCAGTTATTGATTCCCATTGATTCTAATGTGATTCTAGATTTACTGCCTACACTTCGTGGTACTGTCATCCTTTAGCTGCTATTACGCCCACGCGTTTACATCGAAACACGAGTGATAGAGCTTTTTTGCTGTGCTCAAAGAGTTAACATTTTAACTAGACAACACCTACATAGAAACTAAAGACTATGTACTCTGTGAATAGTGTATAAACTTTATAAAGTAAGCGTGATATCGGGCGTTCGATCGCAATGTCCGTGAGTCGGCGCGGGCGCAACGCTCTGTCCCCGATTTGGCTGACGTCACACCTCTGACAGCTAAAACATTTGTCGAACGCCGGAGATAGTGTCACTGATAACTCAATCCTTTACAACAATAAGAACACACTTAGCATGTTTGCACCTGCGTGCGGCCCGCCAGAGATTGATACCACACCCGCATAACTTTAAACTAACAAAAAACAACTTCGAAACGTATATGAAAAAAAAATATTACGCATTCAACCTAAAAACGACTCGCGCTGCTTAGTTTGGTCCGGGTAAAATGTCACCAAATACGATTTTTACGAGCGCGCGACGTTTGTTAAATCGATTCGAAATGAAACATCATTATTGGTGCTTTATCATACGGATACGTTGATATGATAGATAAAAACATGGACAAAAAGGTGGATAGTTTTTGTGGGTCGCGGTGTGAGACGCTACGTCGCCGTCGCCGCGCGCGCCGCGGGGTAGTTCCCAGGAAAGCGCCGTGGGCCGCGCGACCTGTTACAATATTTAAACATTTTACAGCTTTTAGGGCTGCCATTTACTTAACAAACATCTTAATACTTAAATACTGCCAATGCACTATTGGTTATATTAAAATATTTACCTTAATACATTTTCAAACTGTAGAATCATAAATATAAAAGTTGAAGCGTTCAACACGTGAGTAAAATTATAACAGGCTTTCGTGTCTACAAACAAAAGAAGATTCGTCAGCAAAGATGGGGAGGTGTAACATCGACAACCAACCATACAAAGCCGGTATTCTAAATGCTGGAATTAAAAAGTTTCGAAAGCATTTACGAAATGAAACATTTATATATTATTTTTAAATTCAGCATTACTGTTGCTTAAAATATGTTTTCCTCCAGCGTCATTCATAACAAATATGAGTGTGAGTTCAAACATTTTTATGACAACCCTGTGGGAATAATACTTTCTGCGTTTTCTGTAAATCCTTTGTTGGGCTATTCGATTCGTTTCGAGGTGACAATGTTTGTTAGAGTTTACTCATCGTCAATGCACACAATGCATTTTTTTCCACAGTCGATGACTTGTGAATTTGTTTTGATTGATGGTCCCACTGAGGCTTTCAGAGTAAGCAAAAACTCTCGAATAGCAAGGAACCTGTCGCAATATCATACACTATAACCATTTGTGCCCTTTATTTACATTGAAGAAAATTCTTCTAATTTTAACTGTACTCCCAAAGTAATTCTGGTATTCGTACCAGCAAAACAATGTTCGTTAATTTCAACAATCAGAAGTCAATCAGATAGTAACTAAAGTTAAAATGATTAGACTGAATCAATATTTTTGTTTGTCACAACTGCACATCTTGAGAAGCTAATCTTATGAGTAACTGCACTTGTACGTACCTATGCACCCGAGCTAGTGCTCAATAGCCACTTAATTGAAATTTATTTGTCATTTCTCAGTATCAACAATCAATATTCCAAAATCTCTAAAGCTATTCTCACATTGAGCATCCACAAACGAGTTTAACAAGAGTATAATCGAACAATATACTGAAGGAGTGAAGGCAAACACAATTTCAATAACAAAGGGAAGCCATGACAAATAAACATATTTCACGGGCCAAAATGGCTGCGGTCAGGTGTCGCACCCTCCCCCTCCACCCCCTCAAAGCTCTTCTTTTTCTTTCCTTGATAATCGATTCATTATTTTCAATATCTTTTATCTTTGTTAACTTTTGACTCATGATTAATTTGTGGAGGTCGATTATTTACTCTGTACGAATTTAAGTTTTTTTTGGAGTGACTGTAAAATAAGTCTCCTTGATATGAAAGTATATGGTAGCTCGAGTTTTTAATATTTGTTTTATAATTAATCTGCATATTACTTAAACAATTATTGATCATAAAAAAGCTTAAGCATAAAGCCGACACTACATCCGTCCATATTTCATTGAGTATGATAGTATAACCGGAATAAGGAGTCAACGTACTTTCTTTAATAGTAAATTTAAAATAATTTGAGGCAATATTATTTATTGGTGTGGCATCTCTTTCCTGCTCGGTGAGTTTTATGAAAGGCATCTTGGTCTCTCTCGCCATCCATCAAACGAGGTGTGACGTCACGCAGAGCCGTCGTGTGCGGCCCGAGTGAATTTATTGCGTCTGCGCACCCAGCTACCAAAGAAAAACCATACATTGGTTGTATTTTGAGGCCTTTAATTGTTCATTGTAACTTCAGCCTAACTTGTAAATTAAATGAACTTCCAGAATATAAATATTGCAACAGTTGACTTTATTTTTTCCATTTTCGATTTATGAAATAAAACCTTATCTCAATGATTTTTTTTCGTAATAATTTTGTCATGTCTGTCATCATCGTCATAGTCATAGAGATTAATACCTCAAATTGGCGCAACGTGTCGAAAGTTGCGTCAATTTGACAAGAATTTGATCAATCTAAAGAAACAATTTTTATCATTTAGAATCTTGATGAATCAGCGTACCTACTTACATAAAAGTGATCAAAGACTGAAATGTGGCAGATTGCTTACTCTCTGATATTCCGAGTGTACAGCCACAACTACGGGCACGAGTGTAAAGTTGACCTCATACTGACAGTGGGGCCTTTGAGGGACCTCCTGACCCAGCTTACCAGAGAGAGCGTCCAGCGGCTGCCCAATTAACAGACAATAGTTCGAAATGCACAAACGTACTAGCAACAAATT